CGGCGTTTACGTAACGTCACAATTTAACTGGCCGCGCGAGAAAAATCGTTTTCGCGCGGGAATCCTTTCGCCGTCCTGCTCGCTCCCACAGTGCAGGAGCCGGCAGGAGGAAGTCGAGCGATCCGACTCGTAATCGTCCGGGGTTAAGTGTGCCTGTTTGGCCGGGTTTTACGTTGCCTCGCCAATTAAGCGTATTTAGCAATCGCGATTGCGGCTGGTGTCGTTATCGCGGTTACAATCGCTTGTCAATTGACTTCGATTATGTGATTATGCAGGTGGCTGCACGGTGGCACCACCTCTCTCGTTAACGGCACGTTATGTGCCAGACTCGTGAGCGAGCTGTGCCACGTCCGCTTGTGATTTCGCGAGATGGCTAATTATGAATATGCAAATGGTCGATGAGACGTGGACGTTATGAATATGTAAGCTGACGATCGATGCAGCTTCGGTCACTCCTCGCGCGATTAACTCTTCTCACAGTGGCTTGCCGCTTACGAGGAATAACTATCCTAAATCAGAGGCCTGAGAAACCTGATTTCGCGGGACGAATGCGTCATAAATTCACTGAAACTCGAAATAACGATCTCCGACGTATCCGTGGCTATTATAAATTTCACTTTGGCGCACACCGACTGTGGAATATTATTTTTCAAATGACAAACTTGATCGAACGCGGCGGTTTTATTTATGATGATACATTGTATTCATGAGCGGGCGAAGCGCTTACATGTATCCCCGGCTGTCATCAGTCAAATCTGTCGTTAAATTCGTCTTATCTCCTTCGCATATTTACCTGAAAATTTCGCCGCGTCGTCGCGAGTCCTCACTAATTGGTGAAACGGCTGATTTAAAAACAGAGAAGGTAAGGATCCGCATGGAAGCAGTTGATCGGTTGAGTTTTCTCCATCGGGTTCAGCAGGTCAGTCGCCGTGGCTGAATGCGTAATGGGTCTCTATCCGGTGCTTATCTTACGTATCGCGTCGTAAGATCGTAATGCATCTCGTCGGTATAACCAGTTCTAACGGGCGTTATCTGATGTTTCGGCCGATCCAAACAGGTAGTCTTGGATACCAGCGCCGATTCACGAACTCGCGTAGGTCATGGTTGAACGAGGAATAAGTGATTTGTTGCTGACAAATAAATAAATCAAGATAAATAGATAAATAATAGGTGCATCACACGTGCGAAAATATTTCGTGGAAAGTCACATAAATCTAATCTCGCGCGATAAGCAAGATAAAAGTATCAACGTGCGGACACAATTCTGGAAACATTCTATTTATTTCGGTCTCCCAATATCTAAACTCTTTGTACTTTCAGCATAAAAAAAATATATATACACATATTCATATATTCTATATTAAAAATTAAAATATTTCTTCAAGAATTAAAACAATGAAAATGTTTACAATTAGATATGTATCCGCGAACTGGTACTTTTGCCTGCGAAAAGTCGCCTTTGCTACTGAACAATAGAAATAGTATATGAATATATAATAGTAATAGAAATAATAGAAATAGAACAGAAGTTACTGAGCAATAGAAAGTCGAAGAGACATCTGAGTTTCCAGATACTTGGAGATCTAGGGATGTACCTTAACGCGACTTAGATGTGCCCTCAATTTCACAATCTCGAGATACTATACTATCGAGCAAATCTCTCACGTCGGGTTTTGCGGAATTTAACGGAGTATGAATTTAAAGGAAATTTAGTGAAACGTATAATTTGGCGAAAAATTGACAATTCTCCATCCGCAGCGTCGAAGAGCAGCGTCTCGGACTCGAACCATTTTTTTCTCCCTCATATACGTTTCATTCGGCATTCGTCTCGTGACACACCATCGCGGAAGCGCATTGTTGTTGCTTTCGCGTGAGTGCATATAATTGGAATGGGGCCAGTTATTTCCGCGAAGCAGCGACCGCTGTATCGTTTAATTCCGCGTTTTCCATTAGACCAAGTCGAGAGGCGAGAGAAAGCGGATTCATTTGTACGGGATCGTCGGATTTCTTTCGCGGGGTTTCGCCAAAGCCGGCATTTTTTCGTTGTCCCGTATGTTATCAATATACGGGTGATATTTATGAATATAATACACTCCTTAATATACAATCCTCACACATTGCGCGCGTTTCAGCGCCACATACTTCACATTGCGCGATCCTCGCCGGTAATGCGCGGTATTTGTTTAACTGAAAGAAATTACGCTCGTTAAAATGAGAACTCGACACTTTTCATCCGTCAGTAAGATAAAGCAGTGTTTTATCGTAAGACAAGCACATTTGTTCACGAGAGTTTATTTTTCCTTCTTATTTGAATGACGCATTCAAATGAAGAGAACCACCTGAGATCGTACATTATACCTGAGGTCGCGACACATGCTAGCGTTTGGTGAGCTGCCCCATAATAAAGGCAAGATCCCGAACGAGATAAAGATACATAACATCGCAGACAGTTAGCTGCCTCGAGCGATCGTCTTTTTTTTTCGTGAAACGCGCCTAAAAGCGGAAAACGAGCGAGAATTCTCGCGTTAAATCGCGAATCGTCCGTGCTACACGCGCGGAGGAGACTCGTCGGTAAACACGTTTCCCAAGCGGTTTTATGTAACTGTTAAGGCAACTTTCGACCCGAGGTCAGCAGTCCGTCAAGTCGCGGTCGGCGCAGTAAAAAGTCTAATGAGCCGTGAGCCTAATTAACGATACGTCGAGGATGACTCGGCGCGAGGTGTCCGCTCGCGTCCGGCCACAATGCGCCTCTGCTGGTGGCTTTGTCGCGAGCGAGCGGCACCGAGTTCTTTTTGTTCACGTCCAGCGAACCGGTGCCGTTTCTCCCTGATCAGATTAGGCGTGTGAGGAGCGTAGAGAATCGCGACTCTGATAACGGGCTGCCGCAGTGACAGGAAGAGAAACGGCGAAGGAGAAGAGGGCGCGATGCGGATCGATGAATGGCGGGAGGCTGCGTTCGTAATTGCCGCGGCTATTGTTCGATTTTTGCGCGATAGTCGCCAAAGATACCCGCTGTCATTTGCTATAGATTGTTCGAGCAGGGGGAGGTAGCCACGGGGGAGGGGGAGGGGGAAAGCGCGATCGCGAAGACGGTCAATTCCGACGCTTCACTGTCTTCGACGTGAGATTCATTAAGGGATTCTTTTCAGCGACCCGTAATCAGACGCGGATTCTGCGATGCACTCGAAGTCGAGGTATCCTCAACGGGAATGTCATCCGATTTCTCTCTCGTCTTTCTTACGTTTCGTCAATCATCGAGGTATTTTGACTGGGTTTCGTTTTGTGCTGAAGAAGAGACATTCTTGCTATCGCCGTGCTATCGTGTCGTGCGTGTTCCGTGATATCTCTTAAATACATCTAACGGATTAAAAGCGTTTACTTGTACGGTTCTTTCTTTCGTCGATCTTCCGGTTCGATCACACACACACACACGCGCCATGATCCATCACGGACACATGCTTGACCTTGCACGTGCCGTGCGCGAACCGGCGGATCTGTTATTTCGCATCTCACCATCATCCGCTCGCAGCATCCAGCTCCTACGGGATCGTTTCCGTAATCTGATATACTCCGAGAGCCACAAACCATCACGTGCCGGCGATTTGCCATTATTGTGCGCATACCTTGGCACAGCCCGGCATCCTGTAGCCAGACGCCGGTGTTCTTTTCATTTCGCAATGTAACAAAACGAGAAATTAATCGGATCGCGCTGTCAGGTGTAATTCTATCACAGCCCGTTCACGTGATTTCCGCGGCGCAGATCCTGAGACTCGTGATAAAACGAGGACGAAAAATACTAGAGAACTACGTAAATTAATACACTGAAGAAGAAGTAAGATGTTAGAAACATATGATCAAGGCGCGCAAAAGAAGAACTGAATCAAATATATACACAGAAAAATATATACTGTATTCAAGTGAATATTACTTGTTTCACAAATATTTTCTAAGTTTATATATCCACAAATCTCTATCACTATAATTCATCCTAGTCATCAGATTTATTCAAGATACATCCTGAATCCCGGTGAGTTTAGTATTTCAACCAAGAATACTAAATTAAAGTAAAAAATTCGATTTTATATAATATGCTTTTAACGAGAATAACTTGTTCATTTGAGTACTTAATATTGAGCTTTTTTAAGATTTGTGATAAATATATTTTGAGACTATTATCAAGAAGACTATTATCCCTGTTGAAAACAATCATTACTCAAGGAAAGGAAAGTTAATTGAATAGTCAGGGTTTCTTTCAGCAGCAAAATGATATTTCCCCCATGTACGCGTTTCACATTACGCGTTTGCGGAAGATTAAAGACGCATTTAAATGAAATCACAAGTTAACGTCTTGTGCAATCGCGACTCGAGGGAAAGAAGCAGTATATGTTTGCATTAGACGCCAGCGATCACGGCGCGAATACACACGCTTTAATAAGCATTACGCGTTAATGGCGATACGTGTCACGGCTTTCCTCAAAAATATCGCGTCGAGAAAGTCATTTACTCACGGTTGGTTATTAACGAGCGATTTGCGTCACGTTGGAGATATACGATAATCTGCCGGCGCTGAAAGAGAGAGAGAGGAGGAGACAGAGAGACAGAAAGAGAGACAGAGAGAGAGAGAGAGAGAGAGAGAGAGAATGAGAGAGAGGAGAAAGAAAGAGATACACTATCACGTCGCGATTTATCGTTATTGTTCGCGTATCCTGCACCATGCTGCACCGTTATACTTCGTACGTGCGTTACGAAGACGTGCGTCACACTCTTTGTTGGATCCGAGCGCGGGATACGCCATCGTGTTTCACTTTTATAACGGGGTTGAATCGGAAAATAGAGAGAGGTCAAAGTGCTCGTTACTAAATAACGATGTTGTATTATTCGGTTCTGAATAGCGCCGCGCTTCACGTTTCACCGTATTTCTTATTCCCGTGCAGCGGTTCAGGGAACTGTTGTCTGTGGTCGCTGGTAAGAACACTCGCCGCGTTTGTACAACATAAAGCTTTGTTTGCACTTTATTTTATTCATTATCTCAATTTACACATATAGTCGATACATGCTATATTAAATGTATCTCCTATTTAACATGCGCCGAGAGTTTGCTAATTAAATATATTACCGCGTCGAGTATGTACATAGTGCCGGTGTTTCGAACACATCTCTCCGCCCATATCGCACATGTATTTAATTGCTAATTCCATTTATAGCGACGCGAGTGGATTTGCATGCATCTTAAATTACCGGAACGTGTCTCTCACCGCTGGAGTTATTCTTCTCCCGCGGATAATTTCATATTGATTTTGATTCTTGACTTCCCTAATTTCGTAATTCGCAGCTTAACATATTATTTCGAACGTATTTAACAAATTAGAAAGAGACGCGCATTTTCTCGTAAAATATTTCTAATGTTTAGTCGAAATATACGATCGTCTTACCCATAGTCGTTGTATTTCTGGCTTGTATTTCTCTCTCCGATTTCGGGCTTCTCGGATTTCTTCGGGATTCCTCCGTCCGCTATAATCCTGCAATTTTCTCATTCCTTAAGTAGAACTTCGGTTCTGCGATCGAATTGGACTGTTACTCACACCTCACGTTTATAAGCTCTGGTGATCGCTATATTTGCGCAATGTTTAATGCAACATCACGTTGTCTCGCAATCTCTAGCTGCCCTGATCGAAAAAAAAAAAAAGAAAAGAACGTTCTGCTTGCTAACAAAGTTGCTTTAGGAACAGGTCCTTAAATGCTGCTATAGGGACGTTTCCTGGTAAAGGCCGTTACGAGGCACTGTTTGCGCTGATATGGAAGCTCGGTTGTTCGCCGAAGTCTCCGCGGCTACTTTCGAATACGAGAGATACTTCCTGCAAACGGCTGCAGGCTTTTCAATTGCATTTGCAATTGACGTGTTGCAACCAGCAATTGGACCTTGCCGTGTCGCAATCATACGCCGCGCTCTTGAGGAAGGGGACCTACTAATTGTTCTCGACGCGAAATAAGGGAGCGACGTGAATTTTCCATGATAGCGCGAATAGCTCGAGCCGCGTCGCGCGAGTCTCCAAGGGAGAAGCTGTTAAATGTTAGATGAGATTAAAATACACGCTTCTGTACACGTACATCGTGATTAGTTCAATAAATACAGGAACTGGAAGGCACTGTACGCGATGACTGTTGCGCCACACGGAGAGTCCGCTTTGAGCAGAAGGGACTTCTTCACTCAAAAATCAAATTGCCCGCGCGATTTAAAGAGCAATTTAGGCACAGAGGTGCGAATAATTCGGCGCATCCTACAGATCGCACGGTGAAATCTTTCATTGTCGTACACGGTGACGCGCAAATGTTCGCGAGAAATGATCAAGGACTCAGGTGTAACCTGGATCGAGCGATTCGCGGATTATCCTTCGTGTTCGTTTGAGAAACAATAGCAATCGTCCAGGAGCGTTGATCAACCTCACGAAGGCGCTCGAATCCGCTGCCTGTTTCCGCTTGATCTATCCTCGACGAGCAGAGTTGTGCCTGGGAAACATTCGGTTCTCCCCCGTCAAACACGCCTTGATTACCGCTTTCGCCGAACACTTCGTAACGATCCGCGTAACGACTCGTTCGCATAATGACATGCTCACTTCACTTCATCGCGCCTTCGACTTCGCGCACCATTGAGCCGCGATTCGCGAGTCGAGCGGCAAGAACCGCGCTACGCGTTGCTCTCTATCGCGACGACGTTCTTCGAGATCGGCGTGAGGATGCTGGACTCCTGGTCGGAATTGGGCGGCGTCAAGGTGTCGGCCGGACTGCCGGCCACTTGGCTGGTCATCACCGCGTTGCCGTCCGCGTCGATCCGATCGCCGGTGTCGTCGTGGGCCTTCGTCGCGCCGGCGGGGTTGTTGACGCTGCACTTCTTGAAGTGCGTCCGCATGTTGCTACTCTGGGAGAACCTGAGGCCGCAGTTGGGGCAGGAGTACGGCTTGGTGCCGGTGTGATAGTTGAGATGGGTCTTGAGGTGGTGCTTCTTGGTGAAGGCTTTGGAGCACAGGGTGCACTGGTACGGTTTGAGACCGGAGTGTAGCCTGGTGTGGAGGGTCATGTTGGAGCGGTCGGCGAACGCCTTCTGGCAGACCTGGCATTGATACGGCCGCTCGCCGGAGTGCGTCCGCAGATGCTGCTTCAGCAGCATCTTCCGCGAGAACGCCTTGCCGCACTGCTCGCACTGGTGCGGCTTCACGCCGGTATGTATGCGCACGTGCATGTTGTAGGCGACCCGCTGGTTGAAGCTCTTGCCGCATTCCGCGCAGCCGTACTCCTTGCGGTTCCGGTGGATCTTCATATGCGAGCTCAGGTAGCCGCGATCGTTGAAGTACTTGCCGCATTCCGGACAGGTAGCCGCGAACTCCCGTGTGCCCTCGTGCACGCTGCGGTGGTACTTGTAGTTGCGCAGCTGCGAGAACTGCTTGCCGCAGTCGGCGCAGCGGAACGGCTTCTCTCCGGAGTGCGTACGGCTGTGCACCTGATGAGCACACATAGACGGACGGCGATGTATATCGGATAGACCCATAAACAACTTCCGTCTTTATCTATCGTCGCTCTTTTCTCTTATTCTGTTCCTCTCTATAAACTTACTCATTTTGTGTTGCTTTGCAAAGAAACCTGATCTAATGCGTGTTCGCCGTTAATAATAACTTGTATTCGAGCGAACGGGTTAACAAATATCGACTCTCCCTCTCTCTCTCTCTCTCTCTCTCTCTCTTTCTCTCCCTCTCTCTCTCCCTCTCTCTCTCTCTCTCTCATTTTTCTCCACCTCTTTCTCTTTGCGAGTGTCCGGAAATTAATGTTCGCTACATTTCTCGGAAATTATTTACGACTCGACCCAAGTACAGCCCAATTGAGATGGGATATTAACTAACTGTTTCGATCTATAAAGTCGTAAATGAGAGAAAAGAGGTCACGCTGGACGCGCGCTTTGAACCGATATATCGAGTGTAATTTAAATTCCTGAATATGATGTATGAAAACCTAAATATTCTTTGGAATCTAAAATTCATGTGATCCAAGAGTCGAGATTTCAAAAGATCTAAGAAAGTAAAAAAAGCTTTCGATCGGAAGAAGATACGCGGAACTTACACGGAAAAAAATAATTTGCTGGTCTAGCAAATTTTCTGCTAGTCTAACAAAATCTTTTCGTTATTATATGGACAGCAAAAAGATTTACTAAGAGTACTAATCACTACTATTTGCTGGATATAATTTGCTGAATCTACAAATTATTTTGCTATAAGAACTATAATAGGATTTATATAAGCAGTTGCAGTTTTGCTCCGATAGCAAATAAATTTGCTAAGGATACATTATTTTGCATCAATAGCAAATTAACGTGATTCTTAGGACAAATACGCTCAACAAATTTTTCCTATCCTGGCAACTACTTCTACTCTGATAACGAATAATTTGTAAAATTAGTTACGTCAACTAAATTTTTTTATGTCACTACGAATATGCAGTAGCAACGACGATTTTGTTAAAAGAACAAAATTATTTTTCTCCGTTAATTAATGAGAGAAAATATTGGGCGTAATTCAGAATCTGTACACGGAAAAAATAGTGTCGTTGACCCACACGTAAATCTGATTGTGCCAACCAAATTCGATAATGAAATTAGATAGACAATGGGTTAAAAAATGTAACAATTAATTATATAATCGCTGTAATTACAGAGTGTTTGCTGAATTATAGTGATGACATTTCGATTGCTTCAACCAAAATATATCTACACTGACAAATGATTGATCTAATTAAAATGATACTTATTTTTAACTTCAGCCATACTTTTTTGTTGTTCTAACACGAAGATGGTAGTGCATATAAGGTTATTATCACTAATATTATAGAATTTAATTAGAATTTAATAAAAAAAATAGTTTATTTGACCATAATTAATAGTAATTATTTCTTTCCGTGTGATCATTGTTACAAGTGTCAAATATTTGTTTCTCAGTCAACGGTAAATGTAGTGCATATAAGGTTATTATCACTAATATTATAGTAGAATTTAATAAAAAAATAGTTTATTTGACCATAATTAATAGTAATTATTTCTGTGATCATAATTACAAATATCAAATGTTTGTTTCTCAGTCCACGGTAAATGTCACTCCAACCGATTAATAATGATAGTAATACAAGTAAATAATTTTTGGTCGCCACAGCCAAATCACGCGCAATTACATTGATATTGACGTATCAAAATAACTGAATCGCCATCAATCATACGCATTACCATCACACAGAGATAACTGAGGTGATATAACTATGCTGTTCGCAACTAAATATTTGTAGTTATGTGTACCATATATTTTTTCCGTGTACAGTCGATATATTGAAAATTTAGACGACAGACGCGCGACGTCTCGCAGACATTAAACGTTCTAAAGGGTTATCTTCCAAAGACCTTTATCATTCGGTAATTAAAGATTTCAGTAATTAAACGTTGAATGAGAAGCATACCTTGAGCGACGCCCTCGTGACGAAGGTCTTGCCGCATTGGTCGCACCTGTGATCGTCCGCGGGTCGTCCGCGCGCAGGCACTTCCGTGCTGACGATCGCCTCGGTGTTATTGTTGTTGTCGCTGTTGACGAAGATCCTCGCGATCCGCTCGTCGTCGTTCTTCTCCGCGCTCGCCGTGTCCGTCAGCGAGATCTCTCTCTTGTCGTCAGAATCGATCGTGTCGCATAGTCGGCTGATCGGATGCGACAATTCAGGCTTCGTTGGTGTCTGCTGCGGGGTCGGCTGGGAGGTCGCGTATCCGCTCTTGCCGGCGTTCGTGATGACGCTGTCGTTGCCGGTGGATAACGGTCGCGTGTTACCGTTCGTGTTCTGAAAGGGTGGTGGCGGCGGCGGCTCGTTGCTCCTCAGCGCGTTCGCGAGCGGCACGAGCTGACCGGAGGGCGCGAACGGAAGCGGAGACCTGTAGATCTCCTGGACCCTCGCCGCCTCCGGGCCGCCGATCATCTCGCGCGGCCTCGCGTCGCCGTTAAAGCTCATCTCGCAGTTGTTAGGAACTTCGAAAGCGTAAAGCCCGTCGCTCCTCGGCGCGCTTCTGGGGGAGTGAAGCCTCGGGCTCATCGATATTATCGATGACCGTACCGGTTCCGGCGTCAGCGGTTTCCCCTGGATCTCCATCTGCAACAGTCAGCAAAACATGCCTTCTTACGCGACCGATTTCTTCTCCGAGAGTAATTCATTCTACATATTCGCGGTGAATGATCGAGAAACCTCGAAAATAACAAAAATTCATCTTTGCGAGATTCACTTTTTGAACAGACAGATCGAAGTCATTTGTTACCCGTTGATGAGAAGAACAGCAGATCATTTTTCAGAATGCTGCAGTTTTTATATTTTTATATTTTTACTGTTACGCTCTTCATTACTTATGTCGCCATGTTGTTTTGGAAAATATCAGTGCGCAAGCAGTGCCGATATATCTTCGCTTACATACGCACGCGAGCTCTACGAAACGCCACGAGAGCGATTTACCAAATCGGACTTATTTATGCTTGTCAGTTTCACGGAGAAAAAACGACCGTGACGATACGCGCGTGTCGTCGCGAAGCTTTTGTGGTGTACCGACACGTTTTTCTAGAAAAAGTTTCATCGAAATTCAAGTGCTCCATCACTTTGTCGACTGTGACTTTAGTCACTGTTGCTTTCAGACTTTGTGTTTTTGTGCTCGCCAATGCAGCGCGCTTCCGAAATGTCAAGGTGCCGCGATGTTTGGACAGAATGGCGATTATTTGGCTGTATCCTTCTTGCGCACTCACAGCTCAAACAATTGTCATTATTCACATACTTGCAAACCGATTTGTAGCGTCTCGCGGAAGCGTTGCGCCAAGAAACGCGTGACACTAGTAAATTTACTTCTTATCCCGCTGGAGCTAGTGCATTATAAATTACATCCTGCTTTCGGAAAGCGAGCTCGGCACCTGTTCCGCCGAATAAATTATCGGGCGTTGCGAATTTTTATTCGAGCGCAGCGTCGAAAAATAGTTTCTAAACGTCACATTCGACTAACCAGTGGTCGCGTGCGTCGACTGTTTTCTATCTGCTAAATGCTGAATAAGACACCTAACCTATAGTTCAGTTCCGTGCTCACGCGTCCGCATAATGATCGGCCGGGAAGAACAGAGGAAAGCGGCAATTAGAAAGTGTGCGATTGTGACAATTTAACCGATGCCATCGACAGTTTGAATGCCGATGGCCTCGACGCGATGAGGAAAGCTAGGCTCATTGAGATGCATATTATTCAAATGCGCGTAATATTTTCGTCGATGACAGCAAAATACAAATGACAAATCTCCGCGAGATCAGACTCGCGTCGAAAGTACGCGTGATCTCGGCTACCGCGATCTCGGCTTTTGCGCATTCCACGGACCGAATGGCCGCTCGATAGCAGGATCAAAGGACACGCGCGGTATTCGCCATGCCGGATCATAGCTTTCACACTTGCAACATGTTTCCTTTTGTTGTTTACTGTTTCGAATCATGTTCTGCTACCGTTTGCGTGCCGACTTGTTAGTCGGCAGTTTTTGTGTCATTCTCCGAGTGGCGGATTGTCGATACTTTCTATCGCGCTCATCCGCAAGAACCATTTAGCAGTATTATTATCATTGTGATTGGAATTAATGCAAATAGTGTCTGCGAGACACTAAATTTGAAAATAGTGCTTCTCAAAGTGAATTTAAAGGTCGAGATTTTGAGACGATGGACGGTGCGATCTTGGAATAAGTCCCTCTTGAAGTTTTGAGTCTTTGGTTAAAGTTTCAGATTTCTCAAAGATCTCGCGAACACTTTTTGCGATAATGATCCTGATTCACGGAAAGAATTTTATAGCGAAAATGATTAGGGAATTTTGTGATCGAAGAATAAATCGATATTCTGCAATAATTCACGAATAGTTCATTCTTTCATTTTAGAAACTGAAATGTGCTATTAAAAAATTTGCCATGTTTCTAGTAAAATTTATTATATTCCTTAGCAAGATGGACTTTATTGTGGCAATTTTTATTCTTGCACTAGAAACGTACACTGAGAGAAACTATTTAAGAAATAAAAAATGTATACCTGTGGTGGATACTGATAACATATTTATTCATACTAATGTATATTTTTACACTCGGAACAAATGTTTCTTAAAACAGAAAATATAAATCTTCCTAAAATCATAACTTTTCTCGAGGAAGTTACTTTTGTTTTAATAAAACAATTTACACACATTTAAATGAGAGTATGTTATTAGTATCTACAGTTAAATATTTTTTACTTCGCTCTGTGCAGTAAAATTGGAAAGCATTTCTGTGAAAAGGGAAGAAAAGAATCATAATGTTCTTTCCGCGTATGTATAAAAGGACGAAGGCTCTCTCGGTCTTTTTTCGCGAGCTGTTCCGGCGCGACGCGCGAAGGGGAAATCTCGGTAACTGGCCATGCGCGTCGTGCTTATCCGGTTGAAATCTCGGCCGATCTCGATGCTGCAAGCTGCAACGGCGGCTGTTTGCGCAAACGATCGCCGCGTCACGACGAAATCCACGAAATCCGGCAGGTATCCCGTCGAAAGAGAAAACGCGTGTTCCCAGGTCGGTCGTAAGACGATCGTAATAACGCGACGGGCGCGCAGCTGGCGACGCCAGCTGGCGACGCGCAATCACGGCGCGCGTCCTGATAAACGGCCGAGACGGCCTAACTGATAGCTGCATTAAGCGGAACGACATCGACCCGAGTGAAGGGCGATGCAGCTGGAAGCGCTGCGGGGCCACCCTGTCACCTGTTGAGACGATGCTTGCGCATTAAGCGCAGCGAGCAAGAACCAACGATTAGCGCGCGCGCGAACTGGTCTTCCGATGGAGTTCGCGCGCCGCTGCGTGCGGCGTTTTCGCTGTCTATTAATTCAATTAGCTCTTTTAGTCAGGCGTCGTAATAGTGTATAATTTCCATTAGCGTCGGAAAGGTCGATCTTGATCGCGCGTCTAAACACTCTCATGTCCGATCGTCAAGCCGAAACCACACGTGGTATGTTCATAAGAGCCGTTTGTGATTTGAAGAGAGGTGCTAAAGCCGGTATTGCAGTGAACACTCGTGAGATACCGAACAAACGAACGTCGTCATTACTGTGCGCACGTTAAGGGAACGCCATAATTGAAAATTTTATCGGAAAAATACTTACGTTTTTCTGCAAAATTGTGTATGATCGCACAGAATTGCATACGTACATTACGCGCTTTTACGGCCAAAAGTGAATTGTAACGTTACTCAGTATGTGAAAACGATAAAATAATTTGGAAATTGACATTTCGAACTGTTATTACCGAACGTGTGCTTGCTCCGTTTAGGGAAACTTTAAATATTACTGTGTCTTTACGACTGAATTTAAAAACTTAAAAAGAGACAAAAAATTTACGAAGAAATTTCCATATACAGGGTGTCTCACACTGTGGCATTTTGTGGGGACGTAGAACAGGTTGAGGTGAACATAAAAGTCCTATACCGTTTTGCGATATTCGCAATAATTATCGAGATATTAATTGTAGAAAATTTGTGAATGATCATGCAGGATATGGTAAATGAGTTATAATAGCGACAACTGCCGTCGTGTACTTATACTTTAGGTCAAATTGAACAAAAAAGTCCTCTACCATTTTGCAGATAATCACATAGATTTTTAATTATGAATTAAAGAAGATGAGTGCATTATAACGCAAAATTGTGCAATAATCTTTTTTAATTAATAATTAAAAGTCTATGTGATTATTTGGAAAATGGTAAAGGACTTTTTTGTTCAATTTGACCTAAAGTATAAATACACGATGGCAATCATCGCTACTATAACTTATTTACCATATTCTGCATGATCATTTACAAGTTTTCTACAATTAATATCTCGATAATTATGCGATTATATCTGCGAATTATCGCAAAACGGTATAGGACTTTTATGTTCACCTCAACCTGTTCTACGTCCCCACAAAATGCCCGGACGAGAGTGTCTCTATAGTGTGAGATACTCTATATACATTTTTCCCGCTGAATATGATAAAACAAAGTAGCGCACATTTATATAGGATCTATATGTACAATATAATAAGTATAGCATAATCGTGTTAGTAATGATCGCTCCTATGTTATCAACATTTTTATAGTTTATTACCTGGACGTTGCCTTAACGAACAAACATCTTTAATCAATTGCCCATAAAATTGTAGTGTTTGCATATACAACCGCGTTACACATATCGGCGTTATATATTTCGGTTATCTTACTTTCCTTCTGATTATTTTATCAGTATCGTTTTATTAGACACATAAATTTTCGACCGTGGCTAAAACTGGCTAAGTCCTCGACAAGTGGGTTAACGCAACTTTATGCATACGTTTTTTATGTCTTTATGCAAATCTGCCTTTATACAGGGTGTCTGCGATCAATGACACACCCATTGTGTGCAGGTAGAACTCATCAAACTGAACAAAGTAGCTGAGAGAGTAATACCTCCGTTAACCGTGATCGAAAACATTCATCTGAATATTCAGTATTAAAACTCGTTTGAAATAACTGAGAATAGTTAGCTGAATAGAACCTCCTACAGGAATCTTTCTGTTCCTTTTTCGTCCGTTATATCAGTTACATTAACGGAGTTGCTTTTCCATGCGCGGTTGCACCGTAAAGAATCGCGTCAGATCTTTTAATTGAAATCTACAATAAAAGATGCGACTGTACGTATGTCATGTAGTATTCAAATGATGTGATGTCTAGTTCGATTCACGAATACGCAGTGGAAGACATGAGCAGGATAGCGACTGAAGCAAGATGTCCGATCATAGGTGTGTGATAAGTCTTTCAAACCTCGAAAGAGCCTAGGCTAAACCGGATTGAATCAAGATCTAGTGAAATACGATGCCTGATGTTCAGACTTCTGTAGCAGTTAACGAACTCGCGAAGAAACTCTGACGTCGCTTCAATTGATTACACTTACGCCTGCAAATTTATACATACGATTTGTCGCAAAAATTACACGACGCATTTCCGATCGCATTCTCATCGTTCTTTTATCTTCATTTGCAGTATCTGTCAGTGTTTTAAAAAATCACATGTGCAAGATTGCTTCCGACAAATAAAAGTAAGCGAGAGTCGCTTCAGATTTTTGTGTCAGGCAACTAAGTTTCTCTCTTTCTTTCTAGTCACGGTCTTAGAGAGTCCACACGTGTATACGAATGTCTTTCTTTTTTCATTTTACGAGATGTTAATGAGCAATTAGAGGAGCGCTGTGCGCGGAAGAGCGGAAGAAGTTGTTCTCTTGCGTGCGCATTAATTGATTGATGTCACTGGGACTCTGTGTTACGCGAAAAATGCGATTTCTACGTAATTATTTTGCGCGTGGTTTACAGAGATAGTATCAAACGCATTCTCCCTCGTTAATCTTACGTAGGACGACGCACATTCGTTGTATCACTTCAGAGTATCTCGGCTTCTGTCGCTTTAATTAAGGGTGTAACGGTTTATTCTCATCATGTGTCGTTTCGCAAAAATTGAATTTATCACCATGAGCCAATCGACTGCGAAACGAACTATTCGGTATGCGAATAAATCCTCGATGGAGAGTCAAATACCAGACTAATTAATTTTACAAGTTGACATAGAAGAAAAAATATAAAATCGATATAAATTCATGTTAAAAGAGATAATTGTGTTCCATATTCGATGTTTTCTTCAAACTGTTCCCGTTTCGTACGAGAAACACTTGGCAATTATCTCGCGAAAATAGAAGAGCCCTATGCTTGAATTATTGACACAGTGTAGCCGCTGAAATCGACTTCTTTCATAACTCGACACGTTTTCGTCGTTTACTGAACGCAAACACGGACGTTCGATTGTGCCGTTCAGCGGCATTCAACTTCGGCATGGTTCCCACAATAGAGAGCCGGTCTTTTCGTACATTTCGTGGGAATACCCGACAACGGGATCTTGACAGGTGGCTCGGAATACTCCGTGCATCCTAATCGGGATGCACTGACCGGGGAACGTCACATTCCACTTTTTTTTTATAATCAGCGTAAACTTTGTGAAGTCGCTCTATCGATTCCCACCAGAACCGGTTCTGGCACGTGGATCTTTTTTTTTTCTTACTTGCTTTTTTTACTGTAGTATAGCGTAATATGTCCCGAGAAGAGCTGGGCGGCTTGTCGATTAGAGGAACGTTGATCCCACGTTGCACATTAACGATTAGAATGATTCCAGTATTGAGCACTGATCGATTAAAATTTTAATTAATTAAGATAACCGGTAAATCAATAAACCAAATTAATTAGAATATAGTGAAATTAACTATTGAAACATAGTAAAATTGAAAATAATTTATATGCACGGAAAAAAGATTTGGTTGAATTAACGAAATATCTGGTCGAATATGAACGATCCGATTGAAGTACCCCGAATTCTATTCAACCAAACATCTTGTTAACTCCAGTTATAATCGACCAGATATTTGGTTAATTCAATCAAACTTTTCTTTTCGTGTGGAAAAAAGGAAACTATAACATTTTCTTCGTGTAAAGTTTTTCTTTTGAGTGTTTGAATATTCTTTTTGCTTTTGGAAGAATTCCTCTTGAGCCCATATACGATTCCAAATAAGAATAAAATTATATTTGTTGAGTAAAATCTCAATCTCTCTCTTTCTCTCTCTCTCTCTCTCTCTCTCTCTCTCTCTCTCTCTCTCTCAGGGAATTTCAATTCCATGCGTATCCATGGTTTTTACGTGATGTGTACCGGCCGAGTATTTGCTTTCCTCCGCGTCGGGTGAAAAGAATCTAGCGGAACCGCTCTTGGAATTTTCACCGATTTGACGCTAAGTAGCAACGGCTCGCGAACACGCGGACACTCGTGATCATCGTTCCGAGACAATTACTCACCTCGTCGACCTGACGTTCAGCGGGCATGACGGCGGGCCTTGTTCGCGGTGAATGATGAGGCCTGACGATCTGGCGCCACGGCGACGCGGTGACGCGGTTGGCCACGTGCCTGCGGGCAGTCCTCCACCTACAACAACTTTCGCCGCAGCTGAGATCCTCGCCCGCCTGACCGTAATCGGACCTCTCGTACGACCTCGTCCGACCGGCGCATGGCAAGGACGACGACTGCATCCTGCCCGGGTAGGGGCACTCGCGAGTGCAATCGTCACGCGTTCTTCCGCAAAACTCGCCCGAGGCAGCCGCGCTCGCGTCCTCGTCCCCCAGTTTGCCGGTGGCGCAATTCACCTGCACCCTCTCGTACCCCGTCCTGATCCTCTCCAGTGGATCCAACGCGCCGTATCCCTCCGTGACAGGTGCGCCCGGCGGGAGGCACGTGCTCGACTGGTACACATTGAAAGACGGCTCACCGGCGGGAACCATCGCGTGGTTCTTGTCGGGGAGCTCGTGCGCCGATCTACCCGTTGTCGAGACGTGTTCCTTATCCGCCGCAGGATCCACCATCGCTCGGTCTTGGTGCATGAAGCCACCGAGCGGCCACGCGTTCGTGCAGGTAGCCGCGAACGCGGACCTCACGGGATTGTCGAGTTCGTGAAACGTCCTGCTGGGAATATCCCTGGTGTCATTCGGCGGGAATATCCCGGCGCAGGACTCTTTCCGCTCTTCGTAAGGTGACGGCTCTTCGTAAGGTGACGGCCTCGCCGAGCGGTACCACCTGTCGGATGACGGATACTGATCGCACTGCAGGTACTTGGGGCTGACCTTGACATCCTTGACGTCCTCCAGCTTGCAGTCCGTCTGGTCTCCGCACGTCATCACGACTGGCACCGGCGGCAGCTGAATGCGTAGGGCCTCGGCAGCGCGTAGAAATGCGTCCAGCCGAACTCTCGGCACCGTCGCGCTCCCAGTGTATACGAAGCCGAGGAGTGCTGCGAGTTCCGGTGCCTCTACCTCCGCCAAGATCACCGTGATGGGTTCGCAGTGAGCGGCAGACTTGCTGTGTGCCAGCAATACCTCCTGTGGAGCAAAAGCGACGATCTCGGTTATTGGCAGAAGGACGCTGAGTAATAAGAATAATAACAGAATAATAACAGTAGCATTAAATAGTAAATCGCAAAATCATCGTTCGAATGATTTGAGATAATTTTCCGCATGAAGGAACATGGGAAAAAATTTATGTCTTGATCAGATCGATCGGATTATTAAAATATTCACGGATGAAAGATGCGATATGTCATGAGGAACTTGAATTTTGATGGAATATCCTTAACGATGTAGCAACATGAGTTACATAGTAGCAGCATAGGTAATTATATGCATCAAGAACACCTACTGGATTATCGCACGCCTGCTGCGTAAGTAGATCGAATTTGATTACCGTTCCAGTTTTCAAATGGAAAATTCCGACGAAATTTCCTTGATTACACGCATGGAAACGGATACGCGGGTACATGATGCAGTCGTGCATTACCCGCAGGATTTTTCTCTTCAATAATATAATAAAAAAGTGAAAAAAAGCGCAGCAGAGCACTTTGATGGGCGCGTCGAGATGTGTACGGTCGCATTACCAGTCATCGACTTGATCGTAAGCTTGGGATTCTCGACGCCGTTCGACGGTTTACTTTGAGTGCTCGTAAAGATCGCATTTGATTTACTTCATCCTTCCTCACGCCATTATTCGCACAGATAATGGTACGCGGACAATGAGTTACGGGCGTTTCATTGTCGAGAGGCCTGAGAGGATTGTACACCGCACGGTGAGAAGGGAGACAGACAGACAGACAGAGATAACTGTAATTGCACGGGCCCGGATTTGACGCTTTCTGATTTTTTACCGTGATAATTAACCGCTATTGGTCGGTCGCTGCACACAGAGAAATATTATCATTCTGCTGATAAGAGAAAAGCGATTACTCAGTTTACTTTTCTTCTTTTGAGTAATGTTCATGTTCAATGAAGAATCTTTTCTTAATGTGATGGTCTCAAAATATACTCATCCAAATAAACTCTATTTAAGAAAAAGCCAGTTCGACTCTATGTAGTAAGCCGAATGTTTGTCTTAATTTAACACATTTTTGATCGGAATATTAAACTTGGTTTATTAAGCTAGGTTTTGGAAATGTAGTTTGAGTAAAGTTAATGTTTATGGTGAATTTACGATAGATTTGCGGATGTATAAATCTATGAAATATTTGATACAAGTAACATTTACTCGCAGTGTAACATTTAAATGCGATATGCATTTTTCTATGTGCGAGAGAAAGAAGGAGAGAAGGGTCGGGGTATCAGTCCGAATTGACCTACCTTTGCGATTCGCGATGCTTTTGCGTCACGTTATGTAATACTGCGAAAGTACACAGAAAAAAGAATATTCTTGTTTTGCAAATATCTTCTTTTTGATGCGTAAATCTTCAAGTGAGATTACATAGCGTTAAATGAAGAACTTGCATCAATTTTTACACATATGTGATTCAATAAAGAAGAAATATATTCTTATTGTCCAGAAATAATTTTCGTGAGTGAGCAACACAAAATGACGGGTGGAGAATATGATGTTTCTAAAAATGTTGAAAGAATATATCGTCATCCTCAGAATAATCTTCTGTATAATATTATTTTCTGACTATTATGATAATATGGGACTATTATAATATTCAAATAAAATGATGAATTGTTGAAATTCCGGATTTAAAAATTCTTCTGACAAAATTAAATATCGTTGCTTACGAATGAAACAATGATGGTTAATTTGAGTATATTGGTTTTCAGTGGTTACTAATTTTTTTTTCTTTGTACATCTTGCGATTTTGTACATCTTTGTACTCTGAAACTTTACGCGACGAAACGCGCTCTACGACATGTGGCAGACAGGTCGATTAATATTGATATTGGATTAATTGGAGCCGCTCTCCTGCTTGCCACATCAATGACGAATAATTATGCATTCGGGTCGAGGTGAGGTTCCTGGACTAGTCTATCACCCGGGCGTTTCTGTGCAAAAGTTCCACGTGATTTCTTTCGGCTTCCGGTTTTCTTGTTGATATTACGCTCGCTGCACAGGGTAGCAGACACGTTCCAGCCTTCAGTCATTCTCTTTCGCGCCGCTCCGTAGCCATTTTAACGCATCGTTGACCATGAAAAAATGACGAAAGCATCGTTCCTGTACGTAGACGCAAATGAAACGCTGCTAGTGAGCGCTCGGTTGCACCGGCTTCGACAGCTTGATGCAACTTTGCCGCACCGTTGGCGCTTTCAGTGGCGTAGACAGAATTTTTCGAGTCTTGCGCAAACAGCGCCGGTGCTCTCGCCCGTCTCGCCCTCAGTCTCGACATTGAGACGTCAACAACGCACTTATTCTCGGCTCGTATTAAAAGAAAATAAAGTCATCGAGTCGCCTGAAGTAAATGGCCGAAGTAAAAGAAGCGATATTTTTCACGCAGACCGTTGACGCAGATTGACATTTTACCTCCCGAATGGCGTTTCTCCGAAGGAGACTCCGATATTCCTCGAGCCAGGAATACGACATTCTGTAAGAAAAGAAGAACTAGCGATTACCGATATCCATTAGACGCCTCATCGAGCTCAACTCGCAGGGGAGTTTGTTTAGCGATTGTGTAGATTTCTCCCGGTAAAGAGCGCGAGGAATCGCGTCGAGTGTTTCGAGCGTTTCACGTCTCGCACAGCGCGAGTCACATCTCCATACTAAAAATGCGTCTTCTGTTAATAGCGCGTATCTCTAGCAATAGCGCGTATGCAAAAAGGAATTATAAAATTCGATGAGCGACGCGCACTCTTGATTTCCTTCCGCGTGGGAAGCCGGCAAAGGCAGCAGACTTGCGCGGTTTGCGTCCGCGTATTTCTTATCGCGCAGTAGCTACACCCTTGGCAGCGGCACCGCAAGGCCACCTCACGGCATTTTTATTTCGCGGCGCGAGCTCGGGCGCAATTACTTAGGATTAGTGTTTGCGCGTATTGCCCTCGAATCGTAAATATTTCCGGAAGCCGTTGCGTTGCATCGCCTGCAGTCAGAATACATTTCGCGCGGCTACGTGGAGAGAAGGCGAGGCGAGACGTATAATCGCGACGAGTACAAAGTGGACTTTTTCTTTGTCGAGGCAATCAAGAACGCCGCCGGTGCGTTTATCACCGAACGCACTGTCGACATAATCAACGATGTAATAAGCATTATTTCGATGTTATCTCGTATGTGCTTTGCGAACTCTTTAGGCAGCGTTGTTGAAGTACAAGTAGACGTGGTATCTAGATCCACGAGCTTACGGCGTGTCTCTCTCTCTCTCTCTCTCTTTTTCTCTCTCTCTTTCTCTCCCTCTCCGCAGACGCAGTCAGATAACGCGCATAGTGCCTGATAACTATATCTCCATCTAGATGCTAATCTGCCCGCATGTCGATCAATAACGCCGGAATATTCTCCCAGGGAAGCTGGTGCCGGAAGTGTCCGCGAGCCAACATACAAGAAAATATATGAAAAATTTCAATTTCTTTCCACCAATATGTTCGTACTTATTCGCGGATCGCTCTTGCGAATCGTTGCGTGCCAATGGACGATATCAACGTCTCGAGTTACCTGCCAATTTGTAGCTACCAATATCGGAGTCAGGTATCTATGAGCGGTAAACGGTTACCGGTCTCAAGCTGCGCGGGACTTTTCAGCCTGCTTCCATCGATTTATACATCAATCCATCGCGTGGCGGCGATCGCGCCATCGGGATCTATCAATCAATAACAAATAACTACAAATATCTGCGCGCTGTATCTGTAATGGGCGAGCACGGTTAATGGTCTCAAGCTGCGCGGGACTTTTCAGTCCGTTTCCATGGATCTATGAATCGATTTATCGAGTGATCGCGCATTTGTGAAACGACGACGATCATTGTCGGGACCTTGTCTATCAAAAGGCGAGCGCGCGGTAATAACTGGGCGGTAATATTTCGCGCTTTCTATCCGCATCCGCGGTGTAATTAGATGAGGCCCTTTTTCGCGGGCATGTGCATTGAGCGTAACGCGAATGTGACATCGGTAGAATACACAATTTGATTATTTGAAGATGCTGTATGGCTTCTTTCTGGATGTTCCCAAGAAATTATTTACAAATTTGTGAAAGAGTGGTCAGAATCTGCTCAGAATCGATTTATTTATTCTCTAGCAACACATCCTGGGAGAATTTTTCTGTTGGACAAAACTTCGAAATTCACAGTAAAATAGTGGACAACCTTTCTGTCCATAATCGTACTTTCCTGTACTTTCTGATATTTTTGATTCGCAAAAAGGGAACTCGATCTAATGACACTGGGTGCGATCTATTGCGCGCGATTTACGCGCGCATATTCGAACAGTGCATTACGAAATTCGGGGTGCGATCGAGAGCACTTGGATCGGACTCTCGCTTCGTCCCGCTCGTGTAACGTAATTATAGTAATCGCGGAATCAATTTTCGAAGCGAGCGCTCACGAGCAGGAATTTTTGTCTGATTGTATGTGTGTAGTGTGTGCGTGCGTGCGTGTGTGCGTTCGTCGGTTTTAGCTTCCCACGAGAGGTAGCGCACAGTTTCGCACCTACTTCGCGTAATTGCAGGTACTTCACGAGGAGTGCGACAGCACGTTACGGCATTTCAGCAAATATGTACATTTCGTGAAGAAATGCATAGAAAGATCTCGTCGAGTTGAGTCCAGTCGAGTCCAGTCGCGTCGATATCCCAGAAGAGTCACGAAAGAAGTCACGAGCGAAAGATTTCGAGAAAAAAGTCACTAGAGAAGTCGCGCGACAAGTGTTTGCTGGACACGGGATTTTCTTCCTGAAGAAATTCCTCAAACTTTCCATCGTAAAAACGCGTCTGAATTTTTAATGTCATTTCATTTGCTGTTGTCGTCGAGTTTCTTGAGTTTCTCACTCGTGGAATTTCTCACTTGTCCCTTCCGTAGAATTCTCTCGTCGCAATTGTCAATTGTGGATTTTTACGACTAATGAAGTGTACTTTAGAATAGAGAAAATGGAGCAAA